TTATAACATAAAGAATTAACAAATGTAAGTTTTCAGTCATTTTCTATTGAATTGTAGATAAAACATTGGAGATAAAATTCTAAATGCTGTAAATTCTTATAAATAATCAAAGATACCAAAATATTCATCAGGCTTTAGAGAACCATAAAGAGCTAAGTCAATATTTCTAAAATGAATATAACTAAAAAATGTTTATTTCTAATGTTCAATTATAAAATCTTCAGGGTTTTTTTTTTGAGGGTAAGCCATTATTTTTATGTCTAAGAAGTATAAGAGAACCATTGTATATGCTAATCATGTTGCTCATACAACATATGCTATAATACAGATTTTAAACTGAAATTGTTAATGGAAGTTAATATTTGAATGCCATGGTACGATCGGCAATGCATATTTACTTGCCTCTTCCAAACCACTCCCAGTAATAATTAAGAATCACTATAAATAAGCTGGCTATGAATGGATTTAGCCATAGTATAAAGGTAATATATGCCATTCTTGTGATCGTCTTATTTTCAGGATACAAAGGTTTGCTTTACATACATTTGTTCCATTTTTCTTTGTTGTTGTTGGCCCTGAACTAAAACTTTCTAAGTCAAAAGCATATTAAAGAAAGCTGTTTTATTTAAAATTTCCACTATTTAATAGGCATCATATTCCCTGTTAAACTTCTTTCTCTACCTGACAGAATTAATCAGTACCCTATTTTTTTCTGATTCTATTCCTTCTGTTATGATTTGTATCATATTGTATTGCACTTATTATTTACATATTTCTTTCCCCCGTATACTCCAACAACACAGACATAATGTTTTATTCATATTTATTTATATTTCCAGTCCCAGAGGCGAGAACCCTCTCTGGGCCATAGTAGGCTCTCAATAATGTTTACTGATCAGAATTGCTTATCAATATACTCACTGTAAGCGCTGCCCATATTTATACTAGTACTTGCTAAGACATGTCAAAGTATGTTAGACTTCCTAGTTAGGTTTTTATTTCCTAACCAGGGTTTGGCAAACTTTTCCTGTAAAGGGCCAGATGGAAATGTTGTAAGCTTTGTGAGCCATTCAGGCTGTGTCCCAACCACTCAGCTCTGCCGTTGCAAGCCTGGAACGGGGTCGTATGAGATTGGCTGTGTTCCGATGACTGTATTTACAAAAAACAGCAGCAGGCTGGATTTGGCCCTGGCAATTCCTGCTCTAAATCATTGTTTTGAGGTGTGGAGGACGAGGGAATAGCGATTACAACCATGAATCGTAATAATCACTACAGTTGAATTTTCTTATAAATGTTGGCAATGAGAATTCTTATGGCCCTAACATTTTTTAAATATCTCCCAATTATTTCTCCCTTAGGACAAATAGGAAACTGAGTGTTTGTTTGTTTGTTTGTTTGTTTTTAATCTCTGTACTCTCTACCATGAAGACCAAGCTATGAGATTCTAGCGGATAAGCAGGAGTAAGAGAATTGGAAGTGCTGAGAAGGCAGGGAAGTGAAAAGAGAGCACATAGAAGTAAGTGTGGCTGACGGCACGACATATATTGGTTCAAACCTTCCAGTGGGTGTGGGCTGTTAGGCAGATTGAAGAAAAACTGCATTTTGCTTATTTCTTATCTAGGACAGGAGAGAAAGAGCACCCTAAAGCCAGTGGTTCCATACATTTTTGCTTGCATACTTCCTAAAAGAATTTTGAAAAAAAGTGTATATCCCTTCACACATTGCTAAGTTGACATCTGAAATTTGTTATAATTAAGATGCAATTTTCAGCATATTATAAACAATGACATTTAAAAATAAAAGTGTCACGTTACTCTTTTAATATAGCCTATGGAATCTAATATCAGAGCAGATTTTAAACATTTTTGAAATGATTTTAGGTTTACAGAAAAGGTACCAAAATTTGCCAACCGAGAAATTCTGTACATTGTTCACTCAGCTTCCTCTAATGGTACATTTCACATAACCATAGTACGAGCATCAAAGCTGAGAAATAAATACTGGTATAATACTAGTAACTAAACTGAATAATCTTTATCCTAATTTCAGAATTCCCATAATGTTCAATTTGTGTTCCAGGATTCAATCCAAGAGTTCACCTTGCATTTAGTTGTCATGACTCCTTTTTCTCCTCCAGTCTGTGACATTTCCTCAATCTTTTTTTTTTTTTTCTCTTCCATCTTTTATGACCTGGACACTTGAAATGATTCATTATTTTGTAGAATGTTTCTCAATTTGGAGTTGTCTGATGCTTTTTATTATTAAATTGAGATTACGTATGATTGGAGAGAGTACCAAAGAAGTCCTGTGCCTACCTTAGGACATCATACCAGGGGTACATGATGCTGATATGGCTGATTGCTGTTTATGTTAACCTTGATCACTGGATCGAAGAGGTTTTTCCACTGTAAAGTTTGTACTTTCCCATTGTAATTAGTGACTATCTTGGGGGAGATACTTTAAGGCTATGCAAATTTCCTGTTTCTCCTCAAATATTCACCCACTAATTTTAGCACCCATTGGTGGATTTTACCTGCAACAATTATTACCATTGTGTTTACTTAATGGTGATTTTTGTTTCATTCTTTCCCTGTTTATTGCTTGGAATTCTTCTGTGGAGAATTGTTGCTTCTCCCCAATATATTTATTCATTCACTCAGTTATTTATCAATATGGATGTATACATATTTATTCTATGGGTTATACTTCAATATTATCATTATTTTGTTGCTCAAATTGTTCCCACTTTGGCCATTGGGAACTCTTTCAGTTTGGGTCCTGTGTCTTTTGGACATGGCCTCATCTTTCTGTGAGCACTTTCTTATTCTCTGGCACCACAAGATATTCCATTTTCATCTTGTATTTTCTTTGCCCCAGACCTGGAATTGGTCACTTCTCCAAGGGGCCCTAATTCCTTTGGTTGGAGATGCCAGAACAATTTGAATTATATCATACTTTATTTAAAATAGTAATATAAACAAACAAGCTCTTTCACAGTTAGAGATTTTACTTTCTTATTCTCTGTAGTCTTTTATTTCTATTCCAATCTCCCCACAGAATTTTATCCTAATGTAATACTTTTACTCTTGAAAATATTTTATCACCTTGTCATATTTGCCTGCAGTAAAAAATATGTATATAAATTAAAATTATTTTTTAAAAAGTTTCCCTGTAAACATAAGCTCTAAGTGTTACACATTTTTCTATATTACTTTGTCATTTCAGTTATTATTAGTACACAATTGATCATAACAGCATAAATATATTACAACAATTAATAAATAATTAATATGCATCATGCCAAAATATTATGGGTAATGTATCTCTTAATGAAATAGATGTATAATAGATAAATTAATATTAATTTAAAACTGTTAGAATGAGGGCTGGCCGAGTGGCTCAGTTGATTAAGAGCTCGCTCAAGAGTGTGCTCAAGAGTGTGAGCTCTGAGCAACAGCGGTTCGATGCCTGGCCTGAGCTGACCTGCCGCTGAGCTGCCAACAGGTGGCAGGATGGCTCAGCTTAAAAAAAAAAAAGAAAACTGTTAGAATGAGTCATGAGTCAGGATTCACATGAATTCTATTCCTTTTTTTTTTTTTTGTAGCTATATGTGCTGTGAAACTCTGGTATAAATTTCTGGTGTTCACTGTAGTCAGTTGTCCTCTTCTTCCTGAGTACATTGGGCGATCTCCCAGGCTTCCTTACACTTAGGTTGGACCATGTGACTAGTTCTGGCCAATGGTATGTGAGTGGAAGTGCCATGTATTGCTTCAGGACCCAGGGACTTAAGAGTTTTCTACCCCTTTTGCCTGCCATATCATCACTGGAAACCCCAGGTTCCAGAGGTGGGAACAGGCAGCCTAGATCTATGAATTATTACTACTCGGAAGTGAGTTGCCCCAGAGAGCCAATGGAAACATACACAGCAGACTTTGCATGACCAAGAAATTAACTTCTGAGTTTTGTTTTAAACCTCTGACATTAGAGGGTTTGTTAGCTTCCACAACACATCCTAACCTATCCTGAATAAAATAGAAACTTTGTTCATATAAATAAGTAGATGTAAATGAAAGGTTTGTTTTAGCAATATAACTCCATTATTTGAATTCCCTCCTCATATGTGCCAAAAATCACAGTGATCCTACATTAAAAATGATTTTTCATCATCTGTCAACCAATAATTTGATTATGTTCTCCTTGACTTTTGCTTAAAGCACAGAACTGGAAACACTTGATTTGTGAAAGAATTTGTTACCCAGTCATTAGAATGATTCACGTTGTCAGTTTTGTAGAAGTAAAATTGAAAGGCTTCACTAAGACTTTTCAAATGACTATTGATTATGCCTGTTACTCTTTCACTTATAGGCACCTTATTTTACCTGATATATAAAGTAAGGATGGGAAAAAATGAAGTACTGTTAATTTCATTATACTTTTGTCAATATTATTTTTCTATTAAAATGTCTATCTTAATAAGTGATTTAATCAGAACACTAGAGTTGCAAATTTAGTTCGTTCAATCAATTAATGAAAAATCTTCATCATAAAATTTAATTGGTCAGGCCAATCCTCATTGTCAAACCCATGGGTCAAATAAGACAACATTCAGAAAAAGTCTGATTTCATTTTTCAATTCAGTAAACATGCTAATGTTTCACTTGGAAATCTAACATAGATAAAGCATGGAGCTTTGCCATGAGCTTTTCACCAGGATAAGACTAAGACATCAGGTTCTTACCAATATCTACACTCTCCTTGCTTTCACCAGATTTTCTCTCCAGAAATACTTTCTTTGACAATAGTCAAGATGAAATAAAACCTTAAACAAAGTGGTTACCACTCCTGCTGTTCCACTATACATATTAATATTAGTATTAATATTAATACATATTAATTAGAATACACCAACATGGAATTTGTAACTCATCACTTCATCCTTAACAGAAAAATGTACGAATACAGGGAAAGAAATGAGGCTCTACACTTTATAATTCCTTTATTAAAAGAAGCTTCACAGACATCATTGCTTTGAATTTTTTTCTTTGTTTGGTGCCATGGAGGATTTTCCCAAGGTAAAAAGCATCATGGTAAGATTTAGAGTGAAATTCATGTCTTCTTTTTTTAAGGCGGAGACAGGTATTTGTGCAAAGAGAGGTAGGAAGAAAGAACCAATATGACACTATGATCTCAGGGGTGTTCTCATGCAAGTTAATTACAAGAAAGAATACATGAAGGTTAAGGATTCTGGAAACTGAGCTCCTTAAAAATATCCATGGCCCTGTGTCCCTTGGAAATCTTTATGCACTTTCAGGGTATGTGTTCTAAATTTGAGGACTGTTCACTTAGAAAATATATTTCGATAGCCCATGTAAGCTATGTAATTAATGAAAGATAGATTTCAAGTTAACTTCTGTCAGGTAAAGGTAGGAGACCCATTGGAGGACTCCAAGACCTTAGGAGATGGATTCCCTAGAATATTGGGAGAACCTGGACCTATGAATGACCGAACAGAGCCCAAGTCCTCCTGCAAACCCATGTCAGTGTGGATGAGAAATAAACATTTGCTGTGTTAAGCCACCAAGATTTTGAGATTCTTTGCTACAGCAGTTAGCCTCCCCTGACTAACAGAATAATGGTTGGTGCTGGATGGAACCTTACTACTACAGGGGTGATGTGACCTTGTGACCAAGAACTGCAGTGTCCAGGTAGGGAATTGAATGGCAGTCACAGCCAATTCTCCAGGGATAAGGCAGTGCCAGGGGAAGCCAAGGATGGGGCCAAATCAAAAAGAATAGACTACAGTTTGCACCAACTTCAGATATCATAGCAGATGCCAGCAGAATTCCCAGGAGTGGGACCAGACAGCTACCTTCAGTGGACACTAGAAAACACACATCCACAGTCAGTTATCACCTCCTTCCCCCAGGACCCCAAGGACACAACAAGGTCTTGTATATCCAACCACCATTTTGAAGAGGGAAAGGAAACTCCAAAAGACTGAATGTTTATCTAAAGAAACTACCTAATGTACCCTGAATAGGGAGTAGAACTTTCCAAAGAAGAAGCATTTAAACAGTAAGAAGACTATTGGAGTTGGAAGAGCCCAAGATATCTTTAATTGGGAAATGCAAGATTTTCCATTACCCAGAGTCATAGAAAACAATTGTTTTTTTTTGTTTGTTTGTTTTTTGAGGAGGACACATTAATTGTATGTGAATGAGTTTGTGACCCTGCTACTTTTTTTCTTTTTCATGTTGCAGCTATGAAGTCTATAGTTCAGGTTAAAAATAGATGTGGAAAAAAAATGCTTTTTAGAGTGCACATATATGGATACAACAGAATATTTCAGTACTTTCTATTTCTGAAATTTCAGTCATGTGAAGGACTGCATGAGTTGTCCATAGGGACAAACTCTCTGGAGAGGTAGTTCAATACTAAATATCAAAGTACAGAGCACTGACAAGCAGTACAGTTTCTTTCTGCAAAACCACTTTACTAATAACATACTTTGTCAAGTTGTTATGCATGACTATTACACTTCAATATACTTTGACTGGAAGGATAATTGATTAGCGTTTTTGTTTTTTTTGTTTGTTTGTTTTGTTTTTTTACCAAGTCCACCGAGAACAGAACTTTAATTCTACTTGACAGATTATTAAATTGAGCTTTTATATCATCTGGTTAGTTCAAGCCAATCATTCTTTTGAGTCATAAACATACAACTATCACATAACAGAATATCTTTTAAAAATAAAGGCCCAAAACTTAGAAGCAATTATGGAAGTCGGTTGTTCCAGCGTGTAAACTGCACAGGAGTAACCAAGGGCTGCTTTTGGAAGCTGTATTAACTGTTTCAGGCCACAGGGACTTCATTCTTCAGGCATACTCTTCAAACTATTTCTAATGATGGTGGTTTTCCACTTAGAAATTTGTTCATACCTTCTCCTAGAGCTCCACCTGTGACTAGTAGCCACCAGTTTTGAGGCAGCTGGTTGTAATTAATTAAAACACACTCTCTAGGGAGGCCCTGAGAGTCCCTCAGCTTTTCTCTTTCATGAGACCTTCCTTCATTTTCATAACCACCTGGTATTTTCTACTCATGTATTTCTTTACTGGTTTACCGTCAGTATTCTTTCTTTAGAAAATAAGTGCCATGAAAACAGAGATCTCACTGACTTGCTCACCCCAGTACCTCCAGTCTCTAGAATGATACTTGGTTCTTAATAGGAACTCAATAAACATTTATGTAATGAGTAAACTTTTAAATATTGATGATGAAGTCATTTTTCTTTATGAGAAATTAATGAAGGAAGATCAAATTTGATTTTAAATTATGGACAGTATCATGTTTTTAGGCATTAATTACTGACTGCACTAACTCGCCCAACACAAATGGAGATGGTTTCCCTCCACCATAGTTTACTAAATAGAATACATCAAATAAACTCATTTATATAGCAAAGGTATCTAGATTCCTATTGGAGAGTAATTTATTTAGTACTTCTCAACATATCCTCTAGTCTGGTTCTAAGGGTACTCTAAGTCAGATATTCAATTTTTCCCATTTAAATTCAAATAACATTCTATATCTTTTGGTTATTAGGAGTGTTAATAAATACTTATACCTTTAGTCTTTAATAAAATCCATGAGTTTTAACAGTATTGAAATTCAATAAATTCCCTTAAGCTTATCTATAAGGTATTTTTCACTATCAAACTTAGTCATCATTTAGTAGTTGAAGGTTTTGGTCCACATTGTGTGGTTGCTATGAAAGCGTGCTGCCAACCAAGATCTTTACTATATAAGGAAATTTTTTTCTCCTTTAGTTTGAGAAATCAGAACTAATAAAGATGAATGTCACCCTAAATATTAGTTCAGAGCCAAGAACCTGTGAGTTTTAAGCTTAGAAATCAGTATTTCCAGACCCTGCTGTTAAAACTGATTGAATTAAAAAGATTGCATTAAAAACAAAGAAGAAACCTCTCAGAAGCTTTTTCTGGTTCCTATCACATATAAATGTAGGGTTTTTAATTTTGATTTGCTTATTTTCTCTCTCTTTTAATGGAATGAGTGTGGTGAAATGTCTCAATAGACATCAGCTTAGTTTTAAAATTCCCAAAAATTTTTGGTAGAAACATAGTAATACAAAAACTATTATTTACATTGGTTCAGAGAGTTTTCAATAGGGAGTTTCTTTTCATAGTTCTTGTTTTCTGAATAGTAACCATTGTAAAATTTCCTCATTTTAATAATAGATCACAGTTGGGAAATAAATAACTCAACACCCTTTTGATTTGGTTACAATTCAAAACCAGTAATCACTTTAAGAATAATTAAAATAGTGACAGAATTCACATTATAATGGCATCTGGTCTGTAAAGCAAAATACAGAAGAGGCCCCCTTATCGTCTTTACTCATTCTCACGATTGTGGCATTCTCTGATTTCATTATTATAGGTCATTCTTCTCAAGATCAGAAATGAGAATATTTTCTTCCAAATGTGCTGTACTAAAGTTGGATGTAGGATAGTAAGGATTCCCAAATTCTGAAAGTCTCCTGAAGATACCACGACTGTGCTTGTATATGCAGAAGGAAAGGGTGGAAATTGCCAGAATTACTATTAGTGTCAGTGCTACTGCAAGAGGTACAACGCTGTGACTTGGTCCTGAAAGAAGATGAAAAAAAGGAAAACTTCAATGACAGTGAAGATTGATACTGTCACATTTTATTTTATTATTTCTAAAAAAAATCAAAATACTCTCTACTGTTCCAAACATACCTTTTTCTGGATGTTCCTTTACCATGTGAACGTCTAAAATCAAATACAAAAAAGAAAACAGTGAGATGAAATTTTGCTTTCAATTCAGCAAAATTATGTTATTATTTATAGAAGGGCTCAGCAAACTATGACCCATGGGTTAAATCTGTGCACCTGTTTTAAAAGATAACGCTTTATTGGAGCTTAGCCACACTTATTTGTTTATACATTATCTGGCTGCTTTCATGCTACCATGGCAGCATGACAGAGGCTATGTGGCCCCCAGAGCTTAAAATATTTATATCTGACCCTTTACAAGAAAAATTCGCTGACCCCTAATTTACAGTAATCATTATTAGTGCTTACAAACACATACACTGCTGTTTCTTTTAAGTTCAAAGAATTCCCATCTAGCCTCTGCTGGGTGCTGCAATAAAAATGTGAGTAAAATAGCCCCTGCCTGCAAGGAACTCAGTTGTGTTCAGATCTGCTGTGTGGTTTGTCCAGCCAGTTAACCTCTCTGCCTTTATGCAAGAATTTTAAAATCAACTTCTTCTCACGTTTGTGATCTCAAGAATCATGCAAAAAAAAAAAATTCATTCCTGAGTATCTATCCAAAGAAACCCAAAACACTGATTCAGAAAAATATATGCACCCCTATGTTTACTGCAGCACTATTTACAATAGCCAAGACATGGAAACAGCCAGAATGCCCACCGATAGATGATTGGATTAAGAAGCTGTGGTACATTTATACAGTGGAGTATTACTTGACCATAAAAAAGAATGAAATCTTACCATTTGCAGCAACATGGATAGACCTAGAGAATATTATGCTAAGTGAAGTAAATCAGACTGAGAAAGACAAATACCATATGACCTCACTTATATGTGGAATCTAAAGAACAAAATAAATGAGCAAACAAAACAGAAATAGACTCAGAGATATAGGGGGGAAAAAACTGATGGATGCCAGATGGGACAGGGGTGGGGATGGGGGAGAAGGTGAAGGGATTAGAAAGTACAAATTAGTAGTCACAATAGAGTCACAGGGATATGAAATACAGTATGAGGAATATAATCAATAATGTCATAAAGATTATGTAGACTGCCAGACGGGCACTGGGCTTATCAGGGGGATCACTTCATAGACTGTGGATTTCTGACCACTGCACTGTACACCTGAAGCTGAAGTAGAGTAATATTGAATATCAACTATAATTAAATATATACAGAAGGTGCCAGAAAATGTATACATATTTTAAGAAAGGAAAAAACTATTAAAATTTTTATACAAAATATATAGTCACATTTGACTTCTGCAATTACAAGAGGTGCTCAAAGTGATTACCATCAGCGTCCAGACACTTCTGATTATGGCGAACTACTGCTACCTAGATAACATCTCTTAAAATGTGTATACATATTTTGGCACCCTCTGTGGCACTCCACAGGATGTGGAGTACAGCATAGGACATATAGTCAATGGAATTGTAACAGCTAGATACGATGTCAGAGGGATAGTACATTGGGGAGGGCTGTCACTTGGTGAGGGGTGTAAATGTCTAACTATTATGCTGCTTTGTACACCTGAAACTAATAAAAAAGTATCTTGCAAAATGAATAATAGCTCCTCCATTCAAAAAGTTAGAGGGCTCCTGTTTGACGATTTTCTACTGTAAAAGTGCATGTCTTTCAAGTAGACACTCTGAAAATTTGTGCTCTGCTATTTTTGAGATCCAGAGGCGGTGCCTTGGTGTGCTACTCATACCCGTTACTCTTATAGACTTAAAAGAAACATCACCATTGTTACCAAAAGCAAAACTACATAAAAAAAAACTTGATTTTGCAATTAAAAAAATATTGTATAATTTTACATAATATAATTGAAAACATGTATCATTGTGTGTGTAAAGACACTTCTTTAAGAAAGACTGTTAAAAGAGTATGTATTCTCAGCAGGCAGTGAGAAGCTGTAGAAGAAGCACATAGTCAGAAAATCTGGAGTATAATCCTTGATGTTGCATCAGTTTGGACAAGTACTTTTCTCATCTGTAAAATGGGAAGATTTTATCTGCTCCATTGCCTTGGAAAGTGGCTGTGAAGGATGAAAGAAACAGCCTATGCATTATAGGAAGTTTTGAAGTCTTGTACAGACATGAAATGTTTCTGATTTGTTCTTGATACTTAAGTACTACCGATCACTTGGGCATGTTACTTATCACAAAGAGTCGATACGCTATTGGGACTTCAAACATTGGTGTCCACACCTACCAGGTTTTTTTTGTCTTCTTTTCAAGTATGTAATCAGTCACCAAGGCCTGATGATTCTCTTTTCTTGTTTCTACCCTCCCTTTTTGTTCCTAGTTCTATCAGTCAAATTATAACTGCCTCCCTTTACATCTGGTTCAATGGGGACTCCACTGTAAGTGTCTACAGAGCCCCTAGGGGGCCCTGTCTCCTTCATCGTGAAGTTGACTTCTCCTGGCTGGCACTGCCTATGAATAGATCCTACATTACTGTCCAGTTGATTTCTATCACCATCTAATGCGAGCCCTTTGCTCCAACCTAAGCTCATTCTCAGTTGCTGCCTTTGGTCATTTGTCCAATAAGCCTTCCTTCCTCTATTCTCTTCATCTTTGGGGATTCCAAGCCTTCATCTCCTCTGTGAAGTAAGTCTTCTCTAGCAGACCAGGCTACAACAATCCCTCCATCTTTATAATACTGGCACCGAGATACTGTTGTGATTATTATAAACACCTTCCCACTGTTAATGATCCTTATTAATATCTTATCTTAGAAATCTCTGTTATTGTTTGCAACGGACTAGAGTTTTCTGGCTTAGATTCTAAAGTTATTATTTTTTTATCACCACAAATTATGTAGCTCAATATGAAGTTAAAATATGACTTTTATAATATATTATGGCTTATAACAGAGAATTACATCTACTTATTCACAAGGATACCTTGGTCTAGATTATATTTCTTGGGACTAAAGATGAACCTTAAAAACCCTGAGTAGCAGTTGCCAGAGTGAGCGTTGCTGTTTTACATTTCTAGCTCTATTGGCTTGTGCTAAACTGCTTTTTTACCCCTTAGGTTAATGGCGGGGTGACATGAGAAAGTCATTGTGTTTGAGTTGGTTTAGAGTGATTTTTTTCCTCATGTCAGAGAAAGAAGGAGCTGAAATGGTCTCTGACTTGTGTGATGTAGAACAAGCTGATAATGTTAGCATCTATCTGAATATTCCCTGAACACTTGGATTTTAAAACCTTTATATGTTGAAGGGGTGGGTCAACATTTATCAGGGTGGAATCAAAATGAAGCCTTAACCTCTGACTTCACCCACCTGCCTCCATTTTACATATGAACCCCTTTTTTTCTTGACACGGGGATAATTGCCACACTCCTTCAGGGATCCTCAGGGCAACACACAGGTGGGGTTTGATGTGGTCCATCTTTGGCTTCCGAATGCCCCAGTTTAACTGGTCTGTGGGAGTTCCATCAAACCACTTTATGGTTTTACCTGTGGAAAAATTGCCGACTTATAAATGATGAGCATGGTTATCAAACATACTAAGACTGGAATGAATTATAAAAAGCAGCCCCCAAATTTAATGAGACTCTCTCCTTGTCTGTTGCTTTCAACTCAATAAGTACGGTCATGAATGTGACAACAAAAGGTATATGTTAGTAAAGTTGCCTTGTGCACAACTCTTTATTTATTTTAGATATATTGTTCTAATGCTGAACAACAGCTCGACCTGGAGCTAGGCTGCCGTGGGTCGTTGGCCACCACGTGGGCTGCAGTCCCCTGCTGCAGTGGGCTGCCATAAGCTACTGTGTGTACCCAGCAGCCAGCATGAGTGGCTGTCTAGAAGCCAGCGACTGATCTGCCTCGCCCGGGAAGAGTGCAATGATGGTGCCAGCTTGGGCCAGTGAAGCAACATCCTCCACAACTAGACTGAAGAACAAAAGAACAGCAACTTGTCTGTTCCCCTTCCCCCGATTCCCCAATAAAATCTTAAAAAAAAAAAAAGAAAAGAAGATAAACTTGTTCTTTTTTTGTTTTCATTATGCATGTTCTGTGGTTATTTTCTAGGAAAAGAGGGTATGAAGAAAAGAGTTAGCAGTGTTGTCTTTGGAAGACATGGCTTTAAGACTCGTGCTATTTTTTCAGAGGAAGGAAATGTATTCAAGGAGAGTTTTCTGGTTTGTAGATGCCATTTTCATCCGCTTTTTCCACTATGTATTTATTTATGCCCTCTCTTTTTCTCTACCCAAGTCACTTACTGTTGTCATCAAACTGAGCATTCAACCAAACCATCTGGACAAAAGAACCAAAAGCAAAAAGCTCTTCTAGGAGAAATGAATTTTCAGCCTCATCCTTGATTGTTAAAAGATTAGATCCTATCAAAGAAACAAACAGCAAATGAACAAGTATTTGTGTTTACATGTAAATACAATTTTAAAACTGTCTCCCACACCATAATTTGTAAAGCTCAGACTTTGAAAAGTGAACATTTCCATTGTACATAAGTGATTTTTGATTAAAAATGTTAAAGGAAAACCACATTGATGAAAAGATACAAGCTTATACTTAACAAGCATAGAATATTAACTTTAGGCAACATTAAAAATTTATAATTCAAATGCATTCAAAACATTTTTTGAAGAAAGCGCAGTTGTCTGAGACATCATCTTAGGTTTTCAAATTCTATGCTGGACACTGAGTTTCATATGTTTGCCATCCCCCCAAATAAGCAAATTCAATAGTATTTATTTTTTAAATTGTTTTTGTTGCTTTTAAATAATCAGGCAAGTGAAAAAAAAAGCAACGCTTTGTTTTCTGAAATGTCAAGAAGTAACACATTAAAAGCATTTACCATCACAAAAGAATTACCTTCCTTTTTGCAAAATTCATGAGCAGCCTCAAAAGTTGTACTGTCTATGACTGTAGAAAAACTGTAGCAATTCTTTTTGAATTTTATCCAGGGAATAGATGTTTCTGGGCACAGCTCTGGGTGTTCAAATGGTCTTATTTCTATGAACAAACATCAATTATGATTTCAGTGTGGTGACAGGGTTTAGATAAACATTGAATTACGTTTTATAAAAGACCAAGATAAATACATGTAATGAAATTTTCACGGTAATACTCTGAAGAGTGGGTTTAATATACATGATTACAAAACTAAGACTGGCTTATAACATTTCTGGTAGAAATAATCTTTACCTACACATCACAGGGTATATTAATGCACAGCTTTATAGGCTTCGTTTGGGTGCTGCCTGGGTGAGGGTGGCTGACTCTCATGTTTAGTTAGTATCCTAAAGGTTGGAAAAACTGGGGAAAATCATTCATAGAAATACTGGCAGCTGAATGAAGCTGGCAAAGGCAATTCCAAATGTACAAAATGTGTCCTGTGCAGTGCTAAATATTACAGATTTAGCAAATTCTCATGTGTTAATCAAACTATTAGGGAAAACACTACATTCAATAATGCATCATATCATATAACATAAAGCAACATTAACATATCATAACATAACACATAACTAAGGGATGGACTTAGGGATGGGGTGGACTTTGCCTCAGAGGGCAAGCATGATAGTTGGGACACATCCTCGCTGAGATCCTAGGTGTGTACAGGCTGTTGGCACGATACCTATGCTCCCTACACTTTGGTTTCTTTATCTACGAAAGGGAGCTAACATCTTTCTTACAATTTGAGAAGTGTATATGAGCTGGTTCTGGATGCTTCTTAAGCACTCAATAAAAACAGTGTAATTGAAAAGGGAAAGCTAACTTTTATGCTGTTTTAGTAGCTGAATTAGCTTTTCCAATATACAGAGGGTGCCAAAGAAATGTATACACATTTTGAGAAAGGAAAAGGCTGTATTAAAATTGTAATACTCAATATATACTGACAACAAAAGATGAATACAAGTCATGCATATACATTTTTTTGGCACCCCCGGTATACGGCTATCATTTCCATTTTTATCCTGAATATTTTGAAGTGAAGTTACATAATGTGCATACTATTTGACTTATAGCATCCAGAATGTAAGGAATAAATGCACTTTTACTGAAGGAGAGATTCAAAGAGACCAGCTAGTGTTAGGGAACTCTCTATTGACAGCACAGCAATCAAGGAAAGGGGATCTGGTGTAATGGGATAATCATCACATCAGAAAGCAAGGAAACTTGGCTTCTACTCCTGGGGCTGTGGATGGACATCTCTGAGATCTTCAAGAAGCTATTTAAAGTCTCAGAGATATAGAGGAAAAACTGATGGTTGCTAGAAGGGAGGGGGGTATGGATGAGGGAGAAGGGGAAGGGATTAGACAGCATAAACTGGTAACTACGATATTGCCACAGGGATATGAAAGACAATTTGGGGACTATAATTAATAATGTTGTAAATGTTTTGTAGGGTGTCAGATGGTCACATGTCTTGTTAGGGAGACCACTTTGTGGACGGTGTAGAGGCCTGACCACCGCACTGTACACCTGAAGCTGATGTTGAATAATATTGTATGTCAACTATAATTTTATATATATATACTCACAGGATGTGGAGTATAGTGCAGGGAGTGCAGTCAATGGAATGGAATTGTAATAGATATGTATGATATTGGGGCAGGGGTGGTGGATTGGGGAAGGGGTGAAAAGTATAACTAGTGCATTGTTTTGTACACCTGAAACTAATAAAAAAAAAGCTATTTAATACTTTGAGTTTGTTTCATCTAAAAAATAAAGTTCACCAGGTTGTGCCAGGTAGACTTTAAATGCAATGGGACATTATTATCATTATTAACATTTAAATATAGATGTAATATAGATAGCAATATTATTACCATTATTATTATTATGACTCTAGAATCATAGTAGCCCTTGACTTAAACATACATCCTCAGTCTGGCATTCAGGGTCACCCACACATGCTCCTAAGCCAAGTTTCTAGCTTAATTTCTTACCCCTCCCTTTCCCATAACCTGTGATGCAGGAAAATTTCAACACTAGCTTTGTCATTACATGCCCAGTCCTTCCTTCCTTCCATGTTTTTGCCCATCCTTTTCTGCTCACAATGCCTCTCCAGGTCCCATCATGGCCCCATTTACATCCTAGCCATTCTTCAAGGCCGATCTCCACAGTCCCGTCTTTCAAGAAGTCTTTCTACCTTTCTGCAAGTGGATATGATGTCTTGCTAAGGCCCACAGTAGCTACTTCTCATATCGTTTGGTAGCCCTGCCTTGTTGAACAGTTATTTGACGGTATATCACCTACGAGAGCAGAGGCTTCTTCTTTTTTTTTTTTTTTTTAGCTGAGCCATCCTGCCACCTGTTGGCAGCTCAGCTCAGGCTGGGCATCGAACCACTGTTGCAAAGAGCTGGCACTCTTGAGAGAGCTCTTAACCAACTAAGCCACTCAGCCGGCCCAGAGCAGGGGCTTCTTGAGGAAAGATACTCCTTACTACTCTTCCTCATAGCTTCTGCTTAGCATAGTGCCTTGCACAGAAACATGCACAATACATAGTACTTGAGTTGAATAGAATTGAACCTACCAGTTGGTACATGACAAATAGCTCCTTGCAGAAATGACTCGCAGGCAGTGCTACTCCAGCGCCCATTGGTGTCGGCGAAAACACAGTTACCAAGGAAGGATGACTCATCCTCTTTCCAAAAAGTGAAGGAGGATTTGGTGCCATCTGACCAGTAAAAATTAATATCATTCTGTGGAGGGAAATGGAGCCATCATTTCCTGGCCAAGGGTGGCACTGCTGGCGGCATCACCCAATGCTGTCTGAGCACCCATCGTTTCACACGTAGATTTATATTTCCACATCTTATGTTTCTATTTCAGGGAGCCTAAGAATATCTGCCACAAGCAGTATCTTTTCTAGATTTCTGGGAATACTTGGCTCCGGACACCATAATTTTCCCAGCAAGCAGTCAGAGTGAAGTTAGATTGGTACCTTGTTTTTTACACCAAAATAAATTTCAGATTAAAGATTCAAACATAAAATTGAACACAAAGAAGTGCTAAAGAAAACTTGGCTAAATATTTTATACTCTTAGTGTGGGAAAAAATCTTTCCAAGTTTGATACAAAATCCAGAGGCCATAAAGCAAAAATTGACCATAGAAGTTAAATTATTATGTAATACAAAAATACAGTAAACAACCATGCAATACTATCCTTTCACCTATCCCACTGGCAAGGATTAAAATTTTGACATACCCAGTGTTGGCAAGGATGTGAAAAACCTAGATGTTATCACACACTGTTGTTGGCATGTAAATTGGTGCAAACTTTTGGAGGGAAGTATGGCAATAGTTGTTAAAATGTGAAGTGTGCTTAGCAACTTCACTTCTCATCTTACTTGCACAGAGGTATTTGTTACGCATTGTTTGTCACTGTGAAAACTGGGAAGAACTCAAATGTCCATTCACAGGAGACTGGTTTAATAAATTGTGGTATATCCTTATATGTGTTCGATTTTTATGTGCTGACGTAGAAAGCTGTACAAGGTATATTACATAAAAAAGCAAGTTTAAGGACAGTATATATAGTATGATCTCATTTGTATTTAAAAAACAATATACCTATTCATCCATTTTATTTGTATACATGTGCGTATACAGAAAATATCTAAATGCCACACAAGTAACTGTTTATAGTGATTGACACTAAGGAGTAGAACTAGGGGTCAGGATAGACTAGATTTACTTTTCACTAATTTGAGTGTGTAATGCTTTTATTAAAGAAAAAAAAGGAAACTAAAAAATAACCTGACTCTCCAAACCACATCCCTGGAGGGGGAAAATAACCTACATGTTACATTTCCACGAATTCATTAATAATGAAATTTCTAGGCAGGAGGCATGATTCATTTTTCTTGGGGATTTCTTAAGTGCAACAAATGACCCAAATGCAGGTGCTTGAGTTTAGGGTGTGTCCCAGTGCACACATGAGGCAATAACCTGAAATTTCTCAGAAATTTCCAGAGAACCTTTGAAGGGCACTAATTTCCAAAAATTAGGCAACTATATATTTACTCTAAACAGGTGTACGCCTTCATTTTGTAGTCACAGGCTACTCCTAAGGTTGGTCAGTAGTTATTGTCTTAACCCATTCCTTAAACGATGCATTTACTATTCTTCCTGGGAATTGTTTTCTGTGCTCATTTCAGTGCTATGTAATTGAGATGTGAAGCTTAATTATATAAGGTTTGTCCAAGGGAGTTCAGGACACCTACATCTTCAGCAAACAGTCCAATCCAGTGGGCACGTCCTAGCCGGTTGAGCATCACAGTGAGGAAGGACTGGTGATACTGATCTGTAATGCTGACCAGCTCTGCTCCGTGCATCAGGCAGGTTTTTATTGCTGTGTACCAAGTCATATTTGCACTAATTATTTTGTAAGTTCTGTTTCCATATTCTAAGGTATTAGGGATTGGATACATATCGGATGTATTTACACCATGTCCAGAAGTATCTAGAACAAGAACAACAACAAAAATCATTTGTAGCATCTGGATGAGAAAGGGAGAGGCAAGGCTTTAGCATGGAAACCTGTCACAATGATCCATGCTGCTGTGAACCTCAGTGTTTTTCTTCCCAGGATTGACTATTTCAAAATGAGATTACTACCTGACAGCATAGGCGATGATAAAGAACTAAAACAGGAAGTTTAATGAATGAGTTTCTTTAAAACTCATATGGAACGTTTCTGGGTTTCCCTTTTTTGACACAGATTAGAGACTTTAGGCTATGAGCCCAATATGAACACATTTATATGGCACACAAAGAAGAAGAGCAGAATTTGGGTATTCACTGTAGACTGCAAAACTTTGTGCAATTGAATAATATGGCTTGGAAATAATAATAAAAAGAGCTATCATTTGTTAAACATGCGCTGGGAACTTGCTAAGTACTGTATATATGTAGAGCCTGAGATAGTCATTGTTCTATTTTATAGATGCAGAAATCAAGGTTCAGAGAAGAAACTTGACTGACAGTTTCTTTACAGAGGCAAGGCAGGAACCCAGGAGCCGTATGCACTCCAGTGCCCATGTCCTTAACCACCACTGCTCTGTACTATCTCCCAAAGAAAAAATACATTGTTAGACCCAAAAATATCAGAGAGAAAGTGGTCAGCAGTACATTTCTGGAAGAGATCAACATCAAGGCCGCAGAATAGAATCCTTGCATTTAATCGAGAGACCTTGAGTGTTACTTATTGTTTCTAATACGCAAGTTCCTCCTCTGTAAAATGAGGAGACTTTCACCTACTTCACAGATTTGTTGTGAGGATTTTATGGCATAATGCTTATAAAGCCGAAGCACGGCGCCAGCTAGTGCGAATTTGACTTTTACTCGAAGATGTTACCTCAATACAGCAGCAGTACTGAAAGAAGACACCGGAACCATTTACTTGGTAAAGAGATGAATTTCACTTTGGTTTTACCAAAATGAAAAGCAAAGTGAAGTGAAAACCAAAGTGAAATTCATCTCTTTACCAAATAAATGGATCTGGTGTCTTCTTTCAGTTCCTGACCACTGTTATGCTTAAGTGATAACTGAACAAGGAAACGGGGCTTCCCTGGAACTGCTTTTCTGAGGGTGGGTTGGTGATCCTTAGTAGCCTTAAAGGGTTCACATGTATGCCACAGTAAGAGGTATAATTATATTACAGGTAATCATATACATAGGAGGCTGCCCAGAGAGCCACACAGCTCCAGACACAAACTGTGGCTTTCTAAGGTGGCATGGTACAGCAAAGCCTAGCATTCAGTGAAGCACTGAGATGTGAGCTATTGTTGTTGTTTTTATTACTCAGGGTCACTTATGGTGCATTCACACTGTTCATCAACCTCACTGGCTATTTGTGATAGTATGGTTTTGGGATTTCATATCAGGAGTCATTGGGGCTTCTCATCATCAGATCTAGAAACATCCTGCATGCCCTGTTAAGCCAGAGAGATCATTTTTAGACTTCCAAGAAAGGGGGAAGTATTGAGTTGGTTTATTTCCTTGACTCTTTTCTAGTATTTTCTCAATGTCTTTTTTTACTGCCTAAACAGACACATAATCCCAGAAAAAAGCAATAAAGCCTTTTAATGTAACCAAAGTGGATGCATAAACTTGGCCAACACTCAAGTGGTCTCTGCAGTCCTTAGAACCCCACTACAGGGCATAATCGTGGGGTACTGGAGATTAAATGACTATAGATACTTGTATGTATGTAAAGCTCAAAGAATCAGTGCCTGCAACTGTTAGCTTTGCAATGGTCAGTTATACAGCATGTAAAATAAATATGGAAGAGGATAATGGGCCATGGAAATGAAAGGGATAAAAAAGCAAGCGTTGCTTACCCTGCATCTTCTCACAAACAAACCCATAATGTTCTTTTCCACAGTCTTCAAAATACCATTTTCCAGTGAAATGAAAGTTAGGATTACTTGACAGTAAGACACAGAGAGGAATGTGTTTTTGAACTTCGGTGGTGTTATGACTTGGAATCTTTAAAAGAATACATGTTTTCAAAAAAGTGGTAACATAACATTATTAAAACATTAACATCTTTATCAAGGACGTAATTTTAAAAATTCAAACACCATTATTCTTCCGTTTGCATTTAATAAATCTGTTTAAAAATCATGTCATAACCTAAAACATAAATAATTCTGTGATGAGTAAAGCAATTACATTTATGGAACATATAAAAATTATATGAAATTACATTATTAAAACATACTAATGGGCTGGCGAGTGGCGCAGTGGTTGAGAGCTGGCTTGGGATGCCAGAGGGCCCTGGTTCGGATCTCACATGTGAGGGCCAGTGACACTGTCCTCTACATCTAAGATGCTGAACCACAGCTCAACCTGGAGCTGGGCTGCCGTGAGTTGCTGGCGCCAGCATAGGCTGCAGCCCCTGCTGCAGTGGGCTGCCATGGGCTACCGTGTGTAGCCAGCAGCCAACGTGAGTGGCCAGCAGCCGCCATGAGCGGCTGTCCAGAAGCCGGTGACTGATCTGCCTCGCCCAGGATGAGTGCAATGATGGTGCCAACTTGGACCAGTGAAGTAACGTCCTCCACAATTATACTGAAGAACAAAAGGATGGCAACTTGTCTGTTCCCCTTCCCACAATTTCCCAGTGCTGTTCCCATCCCCCAATTCCCCAATAAAAATCTTAAAATATATATATAATATTAATAATCAACTAATAAAAATGTATGCCTACAAAATATAGGAAGTAAAAAAACCGTTATTGAACAAATCTTGCATTGAATCTCTTGCTAAAATGGTTTCTAAAAAATAAACCTTAAAACTTACATTTATTATATCAAACGGAGACCAGTTAGAATATGCCACAGGCTTTCCATTTAGCCATTTTTCATAATCATCACTTTGTAACCCTATCCACACATTAGTGGTTTGGCCAAAAAGATTCATAGTAATGAAAGCTGAAAAATAAGAATACATTATAAAATTTAATACTACATAAACCATTTGGGTAATCAGCCAATTCTGTTTATAGCCATGATTTTATTTAATTGACAGCAAAACTTAATTATCAATCAATTGTCAGAATTCGTTACTTTGTCCTTATTAAGGTAATGCAGTCTCTCACTTTTGTTTCATTTTAAATTGACAGAAATTAGCTGGCTAAGCATTAGATTTCATCATATCATTAACAATTTCCAGGCTTTCCTGAATGTCTTTCTTAACAAAAGAGGATTTATTTGCTTGGTTCAAACTAAAGTATATAATTGCCTAAATATCTAATAAAAGTGTAGAGGCAAATTTAAAGGGATCTATAAAAATATACCATGCAATTATAATAGACTAAAGCTCATATTATTTTAGCCATTTTGAAATACTGATCATAAATGTGTCCTTATTCTTTCCATTAGTACTAGTGTGACAAAAGGCTCCCCAAATCAACAGTTTATAAGCAATGCAGTGTGTTAACTTTTACAGATGTCATGATGTGAACGTCATCAGTAAAACTGAAAATTTATTAAAATACTGGTTTGGAGATGTTAGTATTTGGAGGGGAATATTTTAATGAATACTTGAATACAAATGCTTATTTTTGTCTGACTGAACACTGAGTACCTTGCTCCACCTCATTTTCAATGGCAACCAGTGTGCCCCCTTCTTCCACGCAGAAACTTTGAGCAGATGTCCAGTTCTTCCCATCGTTTGGGTCTGTGGGGATTTTCACCAGAAGACACTATGAAAAATGTCAAAAAAAAAAAAGCATTCGTTTCTTTAATTTCATAATGAATTAACAATTTCCGAAAGACAATGAGGATCGGCCTTGAAAATTTGTACACTTTTCTTGGGCAGGAATGACTCCTTTTGTCTGTAAGCTTCTCCCAAGGTGTGAACGTAAAACCAAGAGGACCCGCTTTCAGGGTGCGTCCATGCCTAGCTTTCATTTGCATCGGGCAGGAACAGAAGAAGCAAGAATGTGTTTTGCCATGTGGGGATATCAGAACAATGTTTCTTGCTCAATGAAAAAGAGCATGCCTTTTAAAAAGGAGCCAGCCTGATGGCAAAGTTTATAGTGGCAGATTTTCATCTAAAAAAAATATATATATATTTTGTGTGTGTGGCTAAAAACAGCTTAGTTCAATTTCATTTGCAAGTATAACTCCTCACTTTAAATGAGAAAGAAATACTGGAGAGTCAAAACCACATTAGGTACTTAAATTCACTAAGGACATGGACTCAGCTGTGTGGTCAGCAAGTCCATGAGGATGAGCCAGAAGAGAAAACACGAGCCCTGTGGGAAGAGACGCTAGGGCAGGACCAAGGAGACCCAGGAAGGAAAAACAAAGGGGGGTGCCCACCAATGTCAAATGAGCACAGAAAGAAGGTTGTGGGATTCGGCAGTGAGAGCTGGTTGTTTGTTACTCCTGAGAGAATCATGTCTGTGGCATAGCAGGGGTTACTCGTTATGGGATGAGAAATGGAACAGTAGCTACTAGGCAGGACAGGCAGGGTTGAAGGAAAGCCACCCCCCTTCCCCCCCAGCCCCCAAGCTTGGTGAAATTTAAACATGTTAGTAGGGCCGGATGGAGTCAAGGAGAGAGAGATAAAAGAGAAAGGCCAGAACACATCCAGGGAAGTCAGGGGAGACTTTTTGCAAAGGATAGTCCATGGGAATATTCTCTCATATCAATAAACATAGACAGCCCTGGTCATTGATAGTCAGATCTCAAGATTGTGCTACTGAGAAAATCCTACCAGCTACAAGGGAATTCTAGGCTAGTGGGGACGCCTTCACTTGAGAGAGCCTTCCTCCCCCAGCCTCCTCTGGAATGACATCCTTCCTCATCCTTGTTTAACTTCTCGATCTGTCAGTCTCTCGTCCCTTCTCCCCCATCATAAACTCCTTAAAAAGCGGAGAGATGAACTTGTTGCTCTTTTTTGAACATCACAACAAAGAAGGTCACCAATAAATATTTATGGAATGAAATAAAAGCCAACAGACTCTGAAACGGTTGTCAAATGACATTCTCAGATATTCTAGATTTAGCCCATCGGTTCTCAAATGGGGCCACTTTGCCCCGCGGGATATTTTGACAATGTCTGGAGATGTTTTTGGTTTTCAGGGCTCGAGGTGCCGGGAAAGGGGGGTTGCTATTGGCATCTAGTGGGCAGAGACGAGGGATGTGGCTAAACATTCTATAATGGATGGGTCAATCCCCCAGGACAAAGGATTTTCCAGCCCCAAATGTCAATCATGCTCAGGTAATTCTTTTCAGAACTCAGTCCTGATCCTGTCACTCTTTAGTTTACACCCTTCAGGGATTTTTCCACTGTTCTTAGTATAAAAACCAGGAGCCCTGATCTAGCCTGACAGTGAGTTACCAACTAAGAGAGGGGAGGACATTTTCAATTCTGGTTCTGTTCACCTTGGTTGCGTCCCAAAGGAACAGAATTGGCTGTACAGGATTTTCATTTTACAACAACTGCCCTTGTCTCTATTTCTTTCGTTTTCCCTCTTTCCTCTAATTACAAATTCCCAAAGAGTGGCACATACTAATTATTAGGAAGCCTTATCATTTAATGCGAGTTCACCTTGTGTTCAGATAGTCATGCTAATGAACTATTCATAAATACCAGGGAACCTTATTGGTTCAGTTAGCTCAATGGATCTCTCCAGAAAACACACACATGGGCTCCCCTCTTTTTCCACCCCTGCCCCTAACATTTGCCTCAGCCAAGATTTCCTAGCTTGATAATGCGAGTGTAGCCTTGCCTTACCAGAGCTTCACTGTTTCTAAAAATATATCGTATTTACTAACACACTTCAAAATGGTGTCATTAATTCAGGCAAAGCAACAAGATGAAGTACAGAATCCTTAATTTTAAATTGTTTAGTTACTAGTTTGTGAAATGTGATCAAGTGTAATGTATCTCTGATTATGACTGTGAATTAGGGCTCTCCTCCTGTATTCCAAACAAGTTTTGAATATAAAATTCTTCTTTGTATCAAAGCCATTTCCAGGTCAAAATTTAAAAATGGCATTCGTGCACTTCCCCCCAGACTTGGTCCTTTCCCAGGGCTCATACTGACATTGAATGGCAAGGTCAGCGCTGCCTTTAAACAAGCCTGAAACCTGGGAGTTGTCCTTACGCTCCCACTCCACCACCCCTTCAGTCTTATCCTCGGAAATCCCATGTCTCAGTGCCCCACCATCCTCACTGCCCCACAGTCTCTGTCACCGTCATCTTAGCCGAAGCTACTAACCTCTTGCCTGGACTATTAAAATAAGTTCTTAACTGCTCTTACCTTTCTCACCCCCTGCCTTCTTCCAGTCTATCTTTGGCACCAAAGCTTGAGTGATTCTTTCCAAAACTCAGTCCTGATCATGTCCCTCTTTAGTTAAAACCCTTCAGAGATTTCTCATTGCTCTTAGAATAAAAACCACAAACTCAAACATGATATCACTCTTGCCTACTTTCATCTCCCCTCCTACATTCTAGATATCTATGCTTCCTTTAGTTTCTTCCATAGTGTTTATGTCACATTCCCTCTCACCACAGGACATTAGCACATGCTGTTCCTCCTACTTTTAATGTTTACTGTCCTGCTGACCACCTCAGTCAGGTCCTTCTGTTACACAGTGTTCTAGAACTTTGTAACTCTCCTTCATCACATGTGTCACAGTTTTAAATTATAGTTATTTTCCTAATTGATTTACTAACGTTTGTTCCTCTTCTAGTCTATAAGCTCCAAAAGAGAGTGATTGTGTTTATTTTTCCTCACCATTGAATTACCAATATCCAACATAGTTAAATGAATGAATGAGTAAAATGCTGAGAATTCGAATACACTTTTTAAAAGAGGAGAAAGTACTTTTAAAGGAAAAGCTATGTTGTATGTGAAATAAAATATTGGTTAATCTCAAACCAGATGGTGCAAAGCAGCCATTAGCACTTCATTCAGGTCCTTGAATGAAAATATGTAAGTAGAAACACAAGAGTGAATCTAATACACACGCACACTCTTAGAATTTCTTCCTCCTAAAGCTGCTGTGACAAGTATCTTAGATGATTCATCCTTCCTGGGGTCATCCTTGGTCAAGCCTCTTTTATATCATCAAACATGGAGGAAAACATTTATGAACATTAGAAAAGATGCTTAGCTTCTGGTGTCTGTTTTAAAAGTTAGATAATTAGTCAACCAGCTAAGGTTTTTTTTTTCTTTCTTTCTCAGAAATAACCAATAAAAATTAGTCTAAGGAAGCTGACAAACAAAATGCAAAGTTTAATGGGACATAATATATTGACACTCATTCAGAACTGTGAAGTGAGTAATGTCTGTCACTGCTCTCTCCCAATTTTTCTTCTTTATATTTTTTAAGTTAATCAGGGGAACCATCCCTACTGGGGTCTCCACTCCTCTCAATTACCAGCTTTTCTAATAATCTGATGAACTCATTGATTCCAAAGTGTAGAGACAGATGAGTCAATCTCAGAAATACTTCTCTTAAAAAAATAAAAAAGAGAGTTAAGGCAAATGAGTAAGACTCCAGTGGTGGGATTTTGGCCATTAATATGCAGGGAAGTCACTGTGGGTGGAGAGATACTCTTGGGGACAGTGAAACCTCACTCTGTAAAAGGTCACCTTCTCACGAAGACTGCGGTGACAGTATCCTTAGTAATCAAATCCTCTGAATACCTTGCAGACTAAGTCTAGCTACTGTCGCATTGTTGGGCAAAAATATTGGCTACACATTAGAATAACTGAGGGAACATTTAAAAAATACTGATGCCTGGATCCCATGCAGATCAATTAAGTCAGAATCTTTAGGATGTCACCTGGACCTTGATATTTTTAAAAAGCTCATCTGGTGATTCTAAATATTTGATCAGGCCTGTGAATCCCAATCTAGCTGTTAGTTATCAATAAACGTTTTTTAAAAAAAACACTCTGAGCTACACCGAGGGTGTTTTAATCTTGCTTCACAGCTAGCTTCAGAAAGCCCGTCTCCTCTCATGTATGTGTCTGTGCTTTACTTCTGCTCTTCTCTATTCCTTTCAAAGGGAGCATTTGCGGCTCTTTGCATGGGGTCTGCCCCACCACCACTGCTCCCATGCCCATGTGTGTACATACTCTCTGTGCTGGCACAGAGCTAAGCTGTGTGGATAAACACGTTTGGGGGAAGGATGAAAACCAAAGGCTGAACCAAAATTACCCATTGTGAGTTTCTAAGAATTGTTTCTTTAATGCCAAGGACTTGAGTTGCCATTAATTTCCTTAAGATCTCCTCTTTTATACATGGGAGGAGCTATGACTTAGTAACGAGAACAGCTGTGTTCATGCTTTGGGGTTGGTCACTGTTTGTATGAAAAATGTGATTTTTAGACAAAATAGGTATTTCTTTGTGCCTGTTCCCTACAGCCCACTGTCAGGATAGTTGTGAAAAACTAGCAGGTTCAATAATTAACTAAAAATAGACCAAAACCTAAATATAAGAGCTAAAATCATAAATCTCTTAGAAGAAAACATAAGGGATAAATTTTCAGGGCCTTGGAGTTGGCAAGGTGTGCTTAAATATGAAACTCAAAGCATGAGCAGCAAAAAAAAAAAAAAAAGAGAGAGATAAATTGGACTTCATTAAAATTAAAACCTTTGGTTCATCAAAGGACATTCTCAAAGAAGTGGAAAGACAACCTACAGAATGGGAGAAAATATTTGCCAAACATATATCTGATAAGTGTTTACTATCCACAATATATAAAAACCTCCTACAACTCAACAGCAAAAAGACAAATAACCCAATTTAAAAACAGGGAAAGGACTTGAACAGACATTTTCCCAAAAATGATCTACCAATGGCCAATCAGTACATGAAAAGATGCTCAAAATCATGAAACGTTAGGGAACGTCAATCACAACCACATGAGTTAACACTGCATAATGCACTAGGAGCTTCCCTGGTGGTCTAGTGGTTAGGATTTGGCGCTCTCTCTCATAATGCACTAGGATGGCGAAAATAAAAAAGACAGACAATAACAAATGGCGACGAGGATGTGGAATAATTGCTAGCATACAGTGTTGGCAGGATTATAGAATTCTGGCAGGGTTACCCTGCTCATACACTGCAGCCAGGATTGTAAAATGGTCCAGCCACTGTGGAAAACAGTTTGTTGATTCCTCAAAAACTTAAACCTAGAATTCTCATATGACTCAGCAATTCCACTCCTAGGTATACACCTAAAACAATTGAAAACAGGGACACTAAGGGATACTTGTATGCCAATGTTCATGGCGGGTTTATTCACAGTAGCCCAAAAGTGGAAGCTGCCTAAGTCTATCAACAGATGAATGGATGAACAAAATGTGGTATCTGTCTTCATACAATGGGACATTATTCAGCCATAAAAAGGAATGAGGTTCTGATATAACATGGATGAAATTCTAAACATTATTTTAAGTGAAATAAGCCAGGCACAAAAGGACACACACACACAAAATTATATATATATATATATATATATATATATATATATATATAAAATTTAATATATATAATTAATTATATATAATATATATATTTAATATCTATAATACACACACACACACAGAGGGTGCCAAAAAAATGTATACACATTTTAAGAAAGGAAAAAACTATTAAAATTGTAATAATATATACCAATAACAAAAGCTGAATACACAAGTCATGTGTATACATGTTTTGGCATCCCCGGTATATATATGTATATATAATGGCATATTATTCAGTCTTAAGAAAGGAGGGAAACTCTGACACATGCTGCAACATGGATGAAACTGGAGGACATAATGCTAAGTGAAATAAGCCAGTCGCCAAAGGACAAATACTCTATGATTCCACTTATTTGCAGTATCTGAAGTAATCAAATGAATAGAGACAGAAAGTAGAATGGTGGTTGCCAAGGGCTGGGGGCGGGGAGAATGAGGGGTTATTGTTTAATGAGTTTAGAGTTTCAGTTTTGCAAGGTGGAAATGGTCTGTGGATTCGCTGCACAACAATGTGAATATATTTTACACTATTGCACTATGCACGTAAAAATGGTTAAGGTGGTGAATTCTACATTATGTAAATTTTATCCCAATTTTAAAAAGCAGTGCCAAATATGTAGCGGGTGCTCAATACATGTGTGTAAAATCCCAATGGCCACATTTCACAAATGAACAATGAGAGGAAGATCACAAAAGAGAGAATGCCCTGCCGATACAACTGAACATAGAGATTAAAAACTGGCTGTCCACGACTGAAGGGTAACCATTTATAATTTGGGATGCATTTTAATTCCTTTCACCTAAGGCCTGTAAAGTTATTTTATTATAAAGCAAAAGGAGTGGAAGGGCAGTCTTGGCCTTAATTGGAGGCAGTAGCTGGAATAATAAATCTGGTTTGCAGCATCCCCACTGGCAATTAAAAAAAAAAATCAATTCTGCATGGAAACACCAGCTTGATGAGGCGCAAGACGCCATTGATGAGCTACATTATTAGCCAGTCAATTCACAAGGCAGGCAGAGCTCTATGCTGGTTCTAGGCAGGAAGGAGATGATGGAGTCTGGGCCCTCTGGTGTCGACAGCTCATTTGGGAGCAGGGCCTAAGATGACACACGCACCCATACAAAGATGCATCACAACTAATGAAACAGTCATGCAACACAATAAGCGACTGAGTCAATAGCAAACACTGAATATACAAATGAAGGGTGGTGTCAAGGCTGCTTCTGGCAAACACTTCTTATTCCAAGAGGTTTGTCCCTAAATCAAAAACTTCTCAAATCTCTTAAAAGTGGTGACAGAAAAATTCCAGGTCCGGACAAATCATGGTTTTTCAAAGCCACACCCACTTTTTCATTACTTGCTGAAATTAACATCTACAAAAGAGAAACAAAGGCAGCGTGTGAAAACAAGTTTACCTTATAGTTAAAATACAGCCATCCTTTGGGACATGTTCCATGCTGTTTCAGTATATCTTTTTCTTTCTCTATGACCCAAAACTTTTTTCGCTTACAGATGCTAGGCATGGAAACTGAACACTCCTCACGTCCCCAGAGTCCTGGAGGGGAAAATGGTTTAGAAATGACTAGGAACAACAATGACTCTTTGTAGACATTCTCTATTGAACACTATTTTTATGACTACCATGGTTTATCATAATTTGCTTTGTAAATCTAGAAATTGAACTAAATTTCACTACTAATCATACAGTTCTCTAGAGATAAGAGCTAACTGGGCAAGGTGCCAAATCAGTAATTTTAATTCAAGAATGTAGAAATTTTGTAAATGCAGAAAACAAACAAAAAGTTAAACAAATACTACAGTTGAAATCACAGAACTGATTAAAGTTCTAAGAATATTTGACTTGGTAGGCAAAAGAATACTGGGGATGCCAACAAAATGTATACATTGCTCAAGCAGTAGTTTGCCGTAATCAGAAGTGTCTGGATGCTGATGGTAACCACTTTGAGCACCTCTTGTAATTGCAGAAGTTAAACGTGACTTGTATTAGTCTTTCGTTATTGGTATATATTGAGCATTACAATTTTAAGTTTTTTCCTTTCTTAAAATGTGTATACATTTTTTTGCACCCTCTGTACTTTGTAGAGTTACATTTTTAAAAAAAATATTCAACATCAACATAAAGAGAAAGAAAAGATTCTAAAACAATAGATGATCATTTCTACTTTATAATTCTTTAGAAAATATAATAATTTAGAAAAATCAGCTCATGAACTTCTAAGAAAGAAGGTCAGAATAGTGACCCTTAAACAAAACAGGCGCACATATAAGCATGCCCTCAGGAAGATATATCCAAAGTCCTAAGTCTCCTGGAAAATGTTTTGTCATTCAGAAGTGCTATATTTTCAGAGAAGATTACAGAATGCATTTCACTAGCATTCAAGTTATAAACTCCAGAACAGGGCTAGGGTGCATGTAAATTGCAAGGGCAGAATCAGTTTTCTAGTATGAGGGATAGGAGCCAAAAACATGATGGCATTTTGTGGAAGGCCTGGAATGCTCTTTTCAATGCAGATTCTTCCAGAATCACAAAACAGCCTTTCTATAGGCTGTTGTGACACCTGCTGGCAAAAGTGAGCTGATTAACCACATGGTTTTTTTCTTTCCTGACTTTCTCTGAAGACGCACGCCTCTACACCTAGGATTACTTTCCATGTTTATCCTGCTCCTGACTTGGCGCACAAGTTGGTTATAAATGTTTCAGTGTCACAAACATCATTACCTTTTATTGGATAGAAAGAGTGGGGTGCACAATCAACCTAAGTAACACTGTGTTGATGAATAGAATTAACAAAACCATCTTCAACATACATGTACTTCTAAACCCCACTTGCAAACAGTTGGTGGTGCAAGGCAAGCAGCCATCAATGCCAGGTATTTTAAAAAAGGAATACTGAATTCAAAGAGATTTTTTTTCTTAAATAGGAAATTGGGAGTACATTTCATAGAGGTTAAAGATCTGGCCAATTATCAACTGGATACTATGAAGAGATTAAAAAATGGGCCCCTACTGAAATTTCATAAGGAAAAGTATTGGTCAGGAACAGTTTTGACCCGTTTCAACGGACCCATTTTTGGTGCTGTTTTGGTTCATGAGGAAGGACTTATCTGGATGTAGATTATTTCCACATTGATGCATGGAATAAACTCTAAGAATGGCCATCCTTTAGCCTAAGACTGATGAAATTGAACACATTCAATTGAAAAGCAAAATAACTGAACAAAACTTTCTCACTGAATCAATGCAATGAAAAGGCTCCTGAAAATTATTAGTTTGTATTATAAACCCCGAAAAGGATGAATAAAATAACCTGTTAGAGATGAAATGAAGCCACATCTCTGGCTCTGGTTATTCATAGGTCCTTCTCTTCCTTTGTCCCAGTTCTGGTAGATTACCAGGGCTCCATCTCTCCAGCTGTAGGAAAATTACAGTTTTTAAGGTCTTCTTTCATTCTGCGTGTGCAGTCTCCAACACTATTCTTAGAGTACCGGGGTATGGATTGAAGGCATACTGTGTCATTAAGTTAAAAAAATATACTCATGTCTTTGGTTAGGGAAATGAAAATTTATAATCTGAAGATAATGTTTGAAGCCTGTTCAACAAATTGATCACTAAGATCTTGTCCAATCATTCTGCAAATAAACCTGCCAAACAAAATTAAATGCAAATTAATCTAGATCCATACCGAAATTCATCATTGGCTCTTTCTTCTCGAAGTCCAATCCACCAATGTACACCATACTTTGATAGCTATTTAAAAAAAAAAGAAAATGTCAGCATTTATTCACTTGTTTCCCTTTTCATTATTAAGATTAATGGGGTTGCTGTTAATAGCTTTCTATTCTTCAGTATTTTACCCAATTATCTAAAGAAAAGTACAAACACTCAGGCCTAGTATCTTGAGAAAACCTGAAACTTCATTATTCTAAAATATCCCCTCCGCATTATGAAGGAAAATTAGAATCAAATATTGAAAATAATTTTAGTTTCATATGATATGCAATATCTTTCTTACAACTTACCCTATGTGTTTGAAAGTAATTTTTGTCTCATAATTTGAATATAAAAAGTAATATTGTAAAGTAAAATAGATGTAGACGCCTTTCTTTCTAAATTAAAATTTTAGTGGTTTGTCCTCTTGGTGATTTATAGAAGCTCATCACATATGTCACACTATTTGAAAAACAATTCAAGGCACAAAGACATCAATGGTAAAAAGATTTTGAATTTTAGGCATTAGTCTGATTGGTAAGCTTTTAAACTGAGTGTTAGCACCCTCACCCATTCAAATAAGGAGACACAGTAGAGGACAAAACAATACTACTGAATTTCCAGTGTTTGACAACTAGGAAATTATCCTTTGGTATTTTATTAATTTTGCACTATTATTTATAACACAGATCTCAGTACAATACAGTATAAAAATAAAACACCATGCACGTGTGCATGCACATGCTTACAGACACACATTAAAACAGATGTAATACTGGACTTATGACCCAGGAAATTGAAATTCCCTCTTAAACTAGAAAAGAGGAAGAGGCAATAAGCATTTCTCTAAGATCTCTAAATCAAAATACTCGATTGTGTGTGTGCTCTGTGCTGTGTGTGTGTGTGTGTGTGTGTGTGTGTGTGAAGTGTAACCCAATTTTTTATGTTAAAAATCTGTTAATTTGAAGACATTATGTATTTAAATTTGCACTTTCATTTCTAGGACTTGAGGATACATTTTAAGATACACACACACACACACACACACACACACACACACACACACACGGTACCAAAAAAATGTATACACATTTTAAGAAAGGAAAACTGTATTAAACTTGTAATAGTCAATGTATACCAATAACAAAAGAATACAAGTCACGTTTGACTTCTGCAATTACAAGAGGTGCTTCAAAGTGGTTACCATCAGCATCCAGACACTTCTGATTATGGTGAACTACTGCTTGAGCAACGTTGACCAAAGTGTCCGCTTATATACACTTTTTTGGGCACCTCTGGTGTATATATGTATATATACATACATATATATATACTTATATATATATGGTGGTTTTGTTTTTTTCATATGACTTTTAGATCATTATGAAAGAGAACCACATAGCTCTCTAACACTCTAATTTATAAACAGGTGTTTTGACTCCTTAAGCAGTGTGGCTGTCTGCCATATCAGCAATTTGAAAATAATATTGTACAACATGGAGCAACTATAATTTTTGATCCCTGAGGTGTTGTTTCATGGACGTGTTTTTACATGCTGAATTTAGATTCCTGTTGTCAGACTTTGGAATGGTTCCACTGAGACTGACTGTGAGCTCGGTGGGAGAACCACAACAATTTTATTCAATCTAAAGGGGTCTCACGTACGACAGTGGAAATCACAGCCTGACTGTTACTGGCTCAATTAAGGACCTCTAAAGAGAAATAATAACTACTGCATCTTAAGTGGCATATTTATTACTACCTCGATTATAGTGTGGTAATCTTCCACGTGGCACATCATAACCTGTATGAAACAGAACTTCAAAGGACAAGCTAGAAGATACCCAGAGTGAAAAATCCAATAGATGTTTTAAAGTTTAACATGGGTATAAGACTACAACAATAGAAGACGTTGATACTCTTTTATATAAAAGAATATTAAAAATGTAATGACTATAAATTTCATAATATCAGTTATGTTTTGTTACAGGCAGCCATTCAAGATAGCATCATATGGGAAGAATACTACCAAAAAGAAAACACAGCAATAGCCAATGTATTTATCTACTAAACAATATAAGAACAAACCATCATCTCTTAAAATTTTCCATTAAAGTAGCAAAACAAAGTCATTTTAAAGGTTTAAGTCATCAGACTTTGAAAAAATTACTAATAAATTTGATATATTTTTGTTAGAAATATTTAGAAATGAAATTTTAAAAATAAGATAAAATCAAACTTTAAAATTCAAATATTCAAATATTTCACAAACCCAGTATAAAAATGCTAGCCAATGGACAAACTGACTAGTATTTTGTGTCAAACAATTCCTATAAAGCTTGCAGTTTTTTGCTTCTTTTGGCACTGATTTGACCAACAAGATGGCTCAAAAAACAGGTACTCAAAAATTCACTCTCATCATGTTTTGTGGTCCTCTGTTATTCGTAGAGAAATTACGGACTCAACACTTTTCCAAGATGGACACATTCTGTTAAAAAAAATTTCTGCTTCAGATTTTTAAAACTGTACCTAACTTTCTTTTTCAATAATTAGTTCTTCCCCTCAACTGAATGTCATTTTTGTTTTCACATTTCTGGGTTATTATTCTAAATGTTTAGTTTCTCATTCTGGAATTAAATAACGTGTGGAATAAAATTCATTCCAGCAGGATGTTCTTAGATATGGGAGTTCTTACTTATGAAATGTAAATGGTCACCATATATACCACCACTACCACCGACAAAAAGTAGGCAACACAGCCACAGTTTAGGCAGAAATAAAAATTGCTTTAGAAATCTACAACTTTCTTGTTTCTAAATTGCTACCCTTTTCCTCTGGATCCCTTGCCCTTTAGTCTCCATATCCTATACCATTCAATAATTTTATTTTGTAGCACAGTGTGGTGTTAGATCAGCCAGCTGTTCACCCATAACATTGACAGGGCATTCTTTATTAATGTGGTCACAGGCTGGGTAACAATTTTGCCATATAAGACACCACCAAAAAAAAGGTTTTTTTTGTTTGAGATCACAACTACCGGGTGTGCCAAAAAAATGTATACAAGTGGACACTTTGGTCAACGTTGCTCAAGCAGTAGTTCGCCATAATCAGAAGTGTCTGGATGCTGATGGTAACCACTTTGAGCCTCTTGTAATACCAGAAGTCAAATGTGACTTGTATTCATCTTTTGTTATCAGTATATATTATTACAATTTTAATACAGTTTTCCTTTCTTAAAATGTATATACATTTTTTTTTGGCACCCTCTGTATATCTAGTCTTCAGCTAGATCATGATCCTGACTATGATTCTCAAACTGCTAAACCATGGGTTTTACTGTTCCTTGTATGGGAGGTGTTAGCTTCACCATCCCTAAGGGCTTCCCAGCCACAGAAGACTGGCAGAATGAAATAAGGGAAAGTTGAAGAAAAAAGACCTGCAGATGTTCCCAAGACAGCTAAACTCTGTTGGAAAGATCAAAGAGGCCCTTCATTATTCATGTCTGAGACAGAGCTGGAGCCATCTTTCAGGAGAGGGGTTTTAGAACTAGCATTTTAATATAAGGAAGACATTGTGCTCTTATCTACCCTCGAAGTTGCTGTTCTGCTGCCAGCAGAGGGTTTTTTAATGATGTAAGTCAGGTGGCCTGGGTTCACTTCCAAATTCCACCACTTAGCGACTGTGCAACCAGGTCGCTTCACCTCTTTGAAGTGTTAGCCTCCTCATCTGTAAGAGGTACTAATAACAGACTTCCCACAGAGTTCTTGGAAAGATTGAGTGCCATCAAATGTTAGTACCTAGCACAGTGCCTGACGCGGTTATGGTAAGTGTTGGCCCACATGAGCTCCTTATGAGATGTGTGCCTTGCCATGTTGATGGATTGGTTTTCAGCCATTCATCTGATGTTTTGTTATTAACACCTGGGTGAGGAGTCTGCTGTCTAGCTAAAGAAACAAACATATTTTCTGACATCATGGTATGTAATTTGTTGATACTTCACATTACGGTTTTGGCTCGAGTGTTCCATGTGCAGGAGCGGAAGGGAGGCAAAATAGAGCACAGACCCATAGTAGGGAAATATCTGGTTCCAGTGGTTGGTCTTCCACTGAGTCCCTGTGGGACTGTGGGGTTGTCACCTAACCCCTCTGTTTCTCAGCTTTTCCATCAAAGCTCAGTAGTAGTCCTGACTTGCCTGCGCCTCACTGGCTATGTGGACATCAAACAGGTTTACAGAAATGAGAAATCCCCGTGAGCTGTGAGGAGGACATTTCTCGTACAAGTAAAAAATGCTTAGATACAGAGCTTCATTTTAAAAGTCAACTTACAAACATGAAAAGATGATAGAGCAAGAAAGAATCCCTGGAGATTATGAAATAATGTTAAATTATAGAAAAAGAAAAAAGGCTTTTTCTTACTTTCAAAGATTTCCTAGGGAAAACTGGGAGTGAGGTTTTCCACCCTCAGTGCCTCTTTGGTAATTTGTACGTATGGCCCCCTTTTTACTTACTATCTCACACTATTTCCAGCTTTTTAAAAATAGAGATTGTATCTCATTTTTGTGTCCTTCACATTTCTGGGTCTTTGACAAATATCACAGTGCCTGACACATACCTAATGCTCAGTAAAAGCTTGTTGAAGAAATACACTAACAATGTACTCTATTCCTTGGCAGTCTATTTCTAATATTATTTAACAGGTTTTGTGCGTTCATTTCTAATTAGCCTAGCTCCTCAAAAGAGTAAGTCTAGTCTTTATCTTAAGTTGAAATGAAAAATCATTCCTTACCATTTTCTGTATGTCTTTTATAAACTTAAAAATATCGTAGCCTTGGAAGTAAAATTCAAAACTTTACAATAGCTACACACCCCTCTCCCAGGTACTCCTTGTCCCTCATTTGTGCTTTATTTTCCTCCATGCCATTTACCCATTTATCTTTTCCTAAAATATTATGTAACTCTATTTACTTATATTGATTACGGTCTTTCTTCCCAGACTAGACTATAATCTCCCAGAGGGCAGCAATTTTGGCCTATTTTAATCACTGATAGAGCCCCAGTCTCTCAATAAATATATGTTGAATGATTGAAAGAACCTCACAAAAGCAGTAAAACTCTACTTATCGTTGTTGCTAAGACAGAAAGAAAGAAAGAAAGAAAGAAAGAAAGAAAGAAAGAAAGAAAGAAAGAAAGAAAGAAAGAAAAAGAAGTGAAATGACTGGCCAACATAATAAACCTGTGTTTCTATTATTTTCTCTTAATCTCTGTATCAGAAAAAAATAATTCTCAAAAATCTATGGCTTTTAATGAAACGTAAATAAATGTCTGAAGTAAAAAAAAAAAAAAAAAATTCCCCAAGGACAGAAGAAGGAGATATGCTCTGAATTTCTCATGGTTAATTGTATTAAAGTACCGCTCTTATTTTGCTGTGGATGAATTCTTGCTCGTGTGCAGAAAGAATTGTGAGAAGATCACTGTGCAGCCAGTCACAGACAAACTCAAAGGAGGACCATTCCGAGGCATAGGTATGAAAAAGGTACTCTGCATCCTGATAAAAGAGCCAGGGTGCATCTGAAAGAAAAATACACAATGCAAATGATGCAAAAACTACTGACTGATATAATGCATGCTTAAATAGGATATGCTATGATTGACCCCAAATTCATAATTTGGTCACTCAGCATTAAAAAAAAATTGTATTTAATAAATATATTTATTTACACACACATACATAATTATGTAATTTGCTTATTTTTCTTAGTCTATCTTATATAAGAAACCTTTATTTGTATTCAAAGTTCAGATATTTTAAAATCAGGTGTCATGAAAATGGGGTTAAGCTATGATATTAGTCTTTACTTATATTTAGTGACATTTATTAACTTGATTATTTATTAATTATTAATTAGTTAATTTGAACAAATTAGTTCTAGATTAACATAAGAAAAGAGAGACTTGATTGGAAGGCTGTAATAATACAGTAATGGTATGTAATAGCACATACTTAGACATTCAAGATAGTTCTTACCATACTGGTACCAGGGTGGAATCTTGGGTCTCACATCTGCAAAGTGAAAGCAAACCGTCTTGAGTGACCTTTCCTCACAGGCGTGCGATCTCTGAATTACTTCAGCTCTACACCCAATATTTTGTACTTCACCTTTTAAAGACCATTTAAAAACCAGGTACTTTGTGCTGTTTGGTATATAGCTCATTCTCATACTTGAAGAGGAGGCTCAAGGGAGGCCCCTGATTAAAGAAGAAAGGACGTGAACACTTGTCGAGGGCCTACTGTGTGTCACGCACTGTGCTAAGTGTTTTCACTTACTCACTTGATAAGTAATTTTGTTAGTTTGTAATGTCACCATGACATTTCTTCCAGACTGTACTCATAAAATATAACACTCCACAATATATCATTTCCTATAACTGGCTTAGCATACCGCACTGCCGTCTTTTCTCATTCCCCTATAACACATTCTTTGCTAAAATAGTGCAGTTCGGTTCATCGTGGAGGTTGTTGGTACTGTGGTCCATGATGCTTACATTTTAGATCTCTGCAACTCTCCACTTGGGAAAGTGCTATAGATTATTAGAGAGCAAACCTATAGTAAAGATCTTATTCATAGTTTTACCTCTTGGAATTTTGCATATCCATTCGCGTTTGGAACCACAGTGCGAGGGCAGCAATGTTTTATTTGCCTTGTAAACAGCACAATTTCTTGCATCTTCTCCAAAATAAGTATTGTCTAAAAATGAAGAGATAACCTGCAGCAGATGAAGTTCATTATTCCTTAATGATGATCTCCCACAGAAAGTTTCAAAAGATCAAAACAGGCACCCTTGTAAATAAATCACAATAGACTTCTGGAGGAAGCTTCAGAAATATCTGTATATGATTCCAGTTAAAGGTTGTTCCGTACTTGTGAAGAACAGGCTAAGCAAACATTAGCATTTTTTTCTTATAGATGCTTTTTTCTTAAAAAGAGGCCTGCTACTCCTTCCTTCACAAGGAACAAGTCAGATGCATGATTCCTTCCGAACTTGCAGGATTAGGCTCTAGGCTTGGGGGCCTGGGTAAACTCAGAGGCTCAGGGATCTGTCAGATGTGAGTCTCACCTTTGATGTAGATTTTTGTGTATAGACACTAAGCTTTTAGTCTCTAATCACTAAATTCTAAGTCATCACTAGCATTAATCAGGAAACTACCCAACACTTTCCACGAATAATCACACAACAGGGGTATTAAATAAAGATTCAAACGTCTCAGTGATTTAAAGACTCTCTGAGAGAAGAGTGGATGGATTGCAAGTAAAATGAAAGTAAACATTTGGAAAAAAAGAGGATGTTTTGAAACCATTTATACTCCTCATCAAACATACACAGTCATGCAACAATTCATCTAACGTAAATATATATTCAGCATGACTTTGCATATTCATTTTGTCCAGTGGGGAGTGGTAAGGGACTCATTGCACTGCTTCATGACTTTATCTCATGTATTTTGAATCAACATTGTCTATTTTGCTTCTGTTACTAATGAGTTTGTTTCACTAAAACAAAACGAAGCGTTCTAAATTTCTATGTACTACATCTCATCGTTAAGGGCCATATTGATGTTAGACATCCAACTGTGCCATGTGGTGGCTGCCATTTATGGGGCAAGTTGACACTGCTATGCCCCTTGTGCTTTCTGGGCCTTGGTTTCTTCATGAGAAAATAGATGGATGGGGCTGGGTGATCTCTAAGATCTCCTCTCACTCTCTGGTGCTGAAGCCCTTTTCAAAGAAGCAGTACATAGGTGGAAACTTTTTACTTATTTTTTTAACTTATTATTTTCTTCCCACTACAAGCATATAACTTTTCTACAAATCCCTTCCTTGACACAAATTTGAACGCTATCTATACAGTGGGCCTAGAGATCTCATTTCTCTGTTGATCTTTACAATTTCAAAGTTTGGGTACTGATAGATATTTTGCCAATGAGGAGACATTATAACATTGTGGCTTTGGAGGCAGCCAACCTGTTTACCAACCCTGGCTCTATGTATTATTTTAGGCAAACTATTTAATCATTGCAATACCTACTGCATTGAATCATCGTAAAGATGGAATGAGACCATGCAGGAGTGTACTCAGCTTAGTACTTAGAGCAGCTTAGGGCTCAGTAAGCAGGAGCTGCATTAAATGCTCATGGTGGGCTATTGCTAGCCTCCCCACTTCACAGATAAAACTGAATAGCTTGATTCTGCATGGGCCCTTGGAAGGATCGTAGTTTCAATCTGGGACACTACTTTGGGGTTTTTCCCCCTATCTTCTTGAGGAAAATGTGAGAATTCCTCATTGCGCTTGAAAAAATATGTAATATTGAGGTTTTTACAAATATGAAGCTGAATAAAAAGCGAGTCTTTTTTCCTCCAAATAACTTGCTCTGGCTGAGAAGGAGGTGAAATTTCTAAGGCTGGCATTTCTGTCCTTTTATAGTGAGATATACTGAAAATGGTTCTTTTCATTGTGACATGGACAATGGCCCCACACTCACATAATAAGGTCCCTAGGCAGGAGAGGGAAGGTGAGGTAAAGAAAGCCTGGCGTTATTTTAAAGAGCAGTTGCTTCTCTGCTGGAGGCTCTTCGCATGGGAGATGGTTTGGGGACCTTTTTGGATATTTTGATTCCTTTTCAGGCTAAGATCCTACAGTGGCCTCAGAACTGTGTGACTAGCAAAACCTCCCCAGGAGGTTGCTGAAATAACTCTTCTGGTACCAAGGGCTGGTACAGTTTTTATTTGGGTCTGAGTCATGGGAAATATGGTCATTATTTCCAGGTTCTTTTGGTTAGTTTGCCAAGTGGTTCCAGGGCCACTTGTTCTGAATTCATTTCCTTTTCTTTGGTTTGAAAAGACTTACAGGAGTTCCATCAGACCACTCCCAAGAGCCAGCATTCAGTGGGTTTCTTTTATTAAATCCAATCCAGAACTGCCTTTCTTCTGTCCTGTGAAGAGAACAAAAACTTGGCCTTTCCCATTGAATTCATAACATTATGAAAAAGTTCAAGTAAGTATTTGTGTGTGCAGGAAACAGCTGATGCTACTGGCAGGGTTGATCAAGTCAAACAAACATTTATTCAACATTTCCTACGTGCAAAACATGAGCTCTGAAGTGAACTGAGAGGAGATAGCCAGGCTTCCTATTTTTCTTGGTTTGTATGGGGTGCTCATTGGTGATATGCCATTGGGAAAAGTCAGCCCATGTTGAGAACATGGCTTTGTCATGTCCATTAGAAATGGCAACACATTTTAATCGGGACAAGAACACATGAAAGCGAGTTGAAAGAAATTTTGGAACTTCTCTTCCCTAGAGGACTTCTTACTACTTTAGTCTGCTTTGATTTGTTGCTCTTTTGTCACATGTTCTTGTATTCTCTGAGGATTAATCATCACCACCCCCCCATTTAACAAAAGGCACATGACAGGTTTTTGTTTATTTGTTTGTTTTTCCCAGATCCTAAAGTAAATATTTCCACAGTGAATCAGTCTGAGGCACAGTAGATTAACTTCAGCCATCACCACCCAGTTAGACTTGGCGAGAAGTCCCCCAGAGAACCCTCTTCTTTCCAATTAGGCATAGGACAAATGTGTCACACCACAGAGTACTCAATAAATCAAGCCATAAAGCCTAATTGTATAACAAGCCATCTCACTAAGATAATTTTCTGAGAATGATTTTGAAGAATTAAAAATTTAAAAGATTCAGAAGTCATAACAGATGCTTTATTTTCTTTATGCAGGGAAACAAGCTTATTCTGAAGCACCTTCTTCTCAGATGTTTGAGCTCCTCTGCCTGAACAATAAAAATGAACATAAAATGTGACTTAGATATTCCGAGTGATCACTGGGGCCCGGTTGGTCACTGCCTCTTACATTGACATTGTGGAAAGGTGGAAACGCTGCCTCAAGGTTAAGCCAGGCACATTCATCTCAATGTCTTAAGCTAGAAATCCACATTACTCTCCCTGTATTAAGAACTTTTTATTTCTTTCCTCACTGAAGTCAGAGTTCTGCAGTTTTCATGCTATATACAGGCTCCTAGAAGATGAATTGTATTTATTCTTTCTTTACCAATTTCCTAAAATTGTATAATTCCTAATACTGTAATATAATGATACAAACAGTAAAATAGAAATAGAAAAGCAGTGCCATAGGAAGGAGAAATACATATAATACATATGCTAACTGTGAGAACTGGTTTATTTGCTATAACTAAGCATCAGATTTGGCTGAACTCCCTGGCAGTCAGGGCAAAAGTAAAACATACATTATATAGCTTTTGTCATTAGGTGCTGAATATTAATAACTTGATAGACAGTTGGCGCTAAATTCTACTAGGAATCCCAGGTATGAGAAAGTCCATAGATAGAAATGATGTAATGATATTTGATCTTGCAGAAAACATGGAAGCAGTTTGCATATAGTTGCTTCATATACCAAAGCCCACTATATACAAGTATGCAAGGATGTTTTTGCAAGGGGATAAAGTCATGAAGCAAAGTTACAGCTTCAAACAATGGAGATTATTACATATCCCTTGGATCTGTGGCCCGACTCCTGGCTAAAAATTCAACTAAACAGGAAGCTTCTTGAACTTTTCTGGAGCCTTGCAGAATCTGATTCAGCAGCTCTGGTGTGAGACCAGAGGACCATATGTTAAAAGGTGTCCAAGGGAGTGTGATAATCCACAGCCAGTTTTGGGAATCACAGTGAGCATATCCTGCAGAGACTATCAGTTCCATGGGATATTGAAAAATGTACTCAAAAAAAGAGTTTTGTGGTTAGAGAAAGTGGTTCCAACTAGAAGGCTTTACAAAGCTAATGTATATGGCAAATTTCCAAGATTGTACATTGCTTTGCAAACATATTTGACCACGAGATTCCCTTTTAGTCCACCACAGAGTACTCTATAAAACTCACATTGGTAGATGGTGTCAAAGACTCTCACCTTTAAGGTCGTTTTTGTAGATTCTGGAGACAAATAGTTTGACAGATGTTACATATTAACATTCCTCTGGTAGTATCCCAAAGGAAACTTACGGGGAAGGCCAGAATTTTCCTCAGAAATTATTCTGTATTTTCTCTGAGATTCACGCAAGTGTCTCATTGAGACTCCAGATTTCCAGAGCTTGGAGCAGAGTACGTGGTGTTACAGTTGTTTTCGTTAATTAAATGTATGGAGCCATGGAGGCATGACACCCCCCACGCCCTTAGACCACACCATCCTCGGGGGCAGGAGTTCATCTGCCATGATTATGGGATTGTCCAGTCAGCTATGCATGTAACATTTTGGGAATATCTTTCATAGAAGATATTCTTAAAATGTATTTTGAAAAGAACATTCGAGGAAGAGGCCAAGGGCTGGGAAGACTTACTATAAGAAGGCATGGTAGCTGTGTTCAAATATTTGAATATAGAGTAGACTTGATCTATATTGCTCTGGCTTACTAAAAAGTTGATCTTTGGAACCAGCCTCCAACAATGGAATGGACTTTCTCCCAAGTAAGGAGCATGCTGCAACTGAAAGGAATTGTGCAGACAGTGGGTGACCATGGGGATGTGGTAGAAGGAATTCTTGCATGTGGGTGGAAGGTAGCTCAGGTCTCTTACATTTTTTTCCAATTTAAATTTAATTGATTTTCTAACTCCATGGAATTCAAGATTCTGTAACTTTGCAAAATGGATGCCGATAAGTGAACACCTGTTTCCTCAAAAGTGAATTAGGGGGTTAGATTGGATTTTTTTAATCAGTGGGACTTCCTTTTTCTTCAAACAAAATATTCCATGGACTCCTACTATATACAAGATAACTAGAAGTGGAGCTGGTTGGAGATGGTCTGATGAGTCAGTGAGCAAGGAACCAGAAACTCTGCCTACTTGGCTTCCTCCTGCATTGGGGTTCCCAGACCCTCGGGATCCTCATACAACACTTTGAAAACCAGTGGACTAGATGATTACTGAGTTTGGCAGAAAAGTTCTAAAATTTTGATATGAGACACACAGACAGGATTTTAAATATCAAAACAATTGTCACTTTTTTCTTTGTTTTATGGAATGTATGTATATATTTCAAAACTGGCGGCCAGTTGGTTGTAGGCTTGAAACAAGTACTTGAGATTTTAAACAAATATTTGGGATACTTGTCCCTAAGTAGGCATTACTGGGAGACCTAATATTTCACTGTAATTTTTTCAAAATTAATAAGTATTTACCGATTAAATTTTGAATGTAGAAGCTCATTCACAAAATCCTCTTCCTCAATATGGGCAAAGCTTGCAAGATGAGCTCCAAATTCCTCACAAAATGCTTCAGCTTCTCGCCATGTTCTTTTCATCAAGACTTTTTCACTATGAAATACCTGTATGCAAAGGAAAAAAAAAATGACACTGTCACACATAAGGTAAGGCTATTTGATTGTAGGCAAGAAAATAATAGTAATGTAATTATTGTCATTATTCTTTATTAAAAGCTTGACCCAGTAAGGAGAAACAACACTTACTGAACTAGATAGAATGTGTATAGTCATTCTAAGACTATTATTTCATTTTATTCTCAAAACAATTTTATGAGGCAGATATGATAAACTGTTTTATCAATGAGCTCCTTGAGGATTCTTTTTAAAATTTTTCTCCTACATTTCCTGTGACTGGCATATACTTGTCCCTTAATAAATGTTTCTCAAAAGATGAAGAGAGTCAGGCTAAGACAGTTTACAAATTTCAGGTCACATAGCTACCAACTGGCAGAACTAGGATTAGACCCCAACACTCCTTGCTTCCAAAGTCCATGAATTTCCATCCCAAACAGACTGCCCTCTGACAAATTCGAATTGGCTGAATGACCATGAATCTGGCTGACTCATGAGAAATGAGACTTGGTACCTAGGGTGGGTATATTTCTAGGGTCTTTGGGTCTTAACTGTGCCTAAATTCTGTCCTACTTCTCAGCTGTCTTTTTTTTCTAACTGTCCTCACAGTAGCAGGGAGAAGTCAGTCAAATGGAAGGTCTGCTTTTGACTCTAAGATCAAGAGTGAAGGACCAAAGACCCAGAGCTCTGGATCCTGGGCCTAAGCACCCTCTTCATTCTTAACTGCCCAACACTAAGCCTGAGCCTCTGAAGCCAACCTTCAACAGGCTCTGATTTGCTGAGACCAGAATGAATAGGCTTCCCAGTCCATCTTTTAAATTATATGTTAAAACTTGCCTCCTTTGGGAACCTTTTCTCAAATCACTTTAAATTAATAAATCTTACTACCAAGCTTGTTAAATACACCATACATTTGTTGACATAGCAGGGTGATATGTAGTAGAAGAAAGCACTGGACTGGGAGTCCCAAAACCAGAGATTTATTCCAACTTTGTTAATAAATAGTTGTGATCTTGGGTAAATTACTTCATCTCATTAGCCTCAGCTTACTCATTTCTAAGGTTTTACTTCCTCTGTGAGGTCACTTCTGGGCCCATTATTCCATGAATTTAATGTAGGTTTCTATGCGTGTACATTTAAATTGAGTGCATTTACAGGTGTTTCACACCATCTATGAGACTACAATTCTCTAGAGATAGACTCTAACTCCATTCTGTTTGTATGTGCTTGTGTTCCAGAGAATAACTTTCTCCCATCATTTTGGAAATCATTAATTATAAAATGAACCAAAGATTAAACCGACAAAAAAACCCCATTATATTAAAAAAAATGTATTTCTGACATTGTAGGTACCGATTTATGCCCAAGATCTACAGTTGATTGGCAAAAAGACATTTCATTACACACACACACACACACACACACACACACACACACACATCAACTGTATATATATTAAATTAATAATCCTTTGATCTTCGGGTGTCTGGCAAGCAGCAAAATCTATCCTTAGCAGCAAAATGGTATTATTCTATAATAAGGACTTTATTCACTTGCTTACACATGATATGAAATTGCACATTTTTATACCCAGCTAGTGTCTGCCTCAGTCATTTGTATATTCAATAAGAACAGTATTGATTTGAACCTTGATATCAACCCTCACGAGGACTCCAGTGTCACCAGGGATATGTCAATCTCTTGGCTTAAAAATTATTTTGGAATATAACTGAAAGGATAAGGACAGTCAACAAATATGAATTAAACACATGCTATGTGCCAGGCACTGTTCTGGAATAAAAGAATTTGGGATACATGGACAAACTTGAAATAATGTTGGTTCCACTGAGAATGCCCATGTAACCTTGGCATCACCTTGAAGCAGCTGGCCAGGCCAGGCTTTGATTCCCAGTCCAAATAGCAGGGGTGAAAAGGCCATCTCTCTTTATGCTCAGTTTTCTCCAAATTTTCCACTGGCTGTTTGCACAGGGACATTGCCTTAAAATGCCTGCAGTCTTTCACTTCCCAGCGGCCAGGTGGACTCCTTCCTCGCATGACAACACAGCCACCACTGTAGCCTAAAAGCAGAAAAACAACACTTTTAATACCATAGAGCTAGAATATTTTGTGCTCAGAAACAGCTCTTTAGAGCATTGAATAATTGACATCTTACAATGAAGCACCCAGATAAAAACAGTAAAGATGAAAAAGGATGCTTTATTGGTATAATTATCTCATTTTTCTTCCTCTCTGGAGAAAAGAATAGAAGATGGAAAAGTGAGAGAAGAGAAACTGTGAAGCTTGAAATTTGGACATTTCGAGCCCAGATGGCAAATGATGGAAAACTAGGAGTTGTTCCAACTTGAAACTGGAATATTTCCTATATCTCATCAAACACCAACATCCCTCTGCTTTGAATTATTGAGTTTTTTAACTGCAGAAAAAAGCCTACCTCATCATTTCTTGAGCACCTACTCTGTACACTGTATACTGTGAAACCCCATTGTGAAAAACCAACAATGAAAAATGCTTAGTGTATATCCTCTGAGAAACAGATTTAACAGGAAAAAAATGCATAAGCAATGGATTCAAGGTAGTTGCAAGGTACACAACAGAAAACCAAACTGTAAACCATGGGAAAGTGTAGAGAATGAGATAAATTCTAAATGGGGTGAAACTCTGGGGAAAGGAGTAGGGAAAGACATCAAGGAAAAGGGAACAATCGTCTAGTTATGGACAAAACTCCATCTTATTTTTTTCTGCATATTTGAATATTTTGGCAAATAAAATATTTTTCCATAGAAACAATTTCTAAGTTAAGATCCTCAAGTTTGTTATCAAATCTATACAATTCATCAGACACCTAAAAAATACACTTCAAATTTCAGTGAATAGTAGAAAACAACCCCATTCCAAAAATAAAATAAAAATTGAGAAAGAATGAGCTTCTTTTTTTCTTGAATCCAGAGTAATCATCTAGTTAACTCAATCAACATTCAACAAAAACAAAAACAAAAGGGCATCTACATCTATATACAACGCTAGGCTGTATATTCGCTGCTAGAGATAGAAGGACAACACAACACAAAACAAATAAAACCCAGCTCTTAGCTTAGTGTGAGTTTATCAATTGCAATAAACATAATGTGTACGGTGCTATAGTAACAGTGTGTACATTTGAATTTATGGGGAGACTTCAGACGGATGATGGAGTCTGCCTGGAGATGTCAGTAAAGGATTTCTTAAAAGTGACATCTGAGCCAAGTTTTGGGAGTATGAGAAGGAGAAAAGAGTTTTCAAGGGGTGCTTATAAAAAAGCAAGTGATTATAGCTGACTTGTGATGGTTCTGGACCTAAAGGAACTTTTAAAATATAGTCACTTGGTACTAAATATTTGTCTTTCTTAATTTCCCTTCAGAAGTAATAGCTTTCTTTTCTTTCCTTTTTTCTTTCTTTTTTTTTTTTTATATACAGGGCAGCTGGTATTATCCTTGTCAGCCATGTTTTGGTCGTTTTATGCTGATGGAAAGGCTAAAGAAGGGGGGAAATGAAAAGTGAGAGAAGTAAAAAGACATACAAGAGGTACAAAGAGCCTCTCCTAAAGGAATGGAAAAGTTTGTGAAATAGAGGAAGAATACGGGAGCTAAAGAATGAGTGCCTATCTTCAACAATCCCGGATGCACACTGGATATCATGGGGTCAGAGAATTCCCATCCAAAAGAAGCTCACAGTCCTGTGTGTACATGCACACTGATGCATCAGAGACCCGAAAGGGTGAAAATGACTAGTCCTAAACAAGGAAACGTAATTAGTATGACTCACACAGAAGAAAAGGAAGTCAAGAGAGAGCTGGTCCAGACAAAGGCCAGCAGTAAGTTCCACTGAACAGAACAGCTGGCTAGTGTTAAAGATGGAGGGTTGCAGGACAGGGAAGGGGGAGAGATTATAGCATGCAACCACAACTTGCCATGAATGGAGCTCTGCAGTCTTTTTTTTTAAAGATTTTATTGGGGAATTGGGGAAGGGAAACAGCGCTGGGGAATCGGGGGAAGGGGAACAGACAGGTTGCTGTCGTTTTGTTCTTCGGTCTAGTTGTGGAGGATGTCGCTTCACCGGCCCATGTTGGTATTATCATTGCGCTCTTCCTGGGTGAGGCAGATCGGTCGCCGGCCTCTGGACAGCCACTCACAGCGGCTGCTGGCTGTTCACGCTGGCTGCTGGCTACACA